TGGGAAACATTTCGACATATGTATGCATATATATATATATAGTATTTGTATAATGTATGGATCTGAGTTTGCATGTTTTTTTCTCCTTTCATTTCTTTCTTGATTTGTGTTTGAGATGGATAAATAAGATGTACCCAACAATTCATCTTCTTATTTATTTATGTTGTCCTGTGATCTTAATATTTGGGTTTTTTTTATTATATTCATAATTTAAAAACGTGCCAACAGTCGAATTCTAATTATAGTCATTATTATATATATATATATATATATATAATAAATATTTAGTTATTATTAGAAAATAAAGGGCAAGGTGTGGTATGTGGTTTAGGTAAAGGTGTAGAATGAGAAAGTTGATTACATGGATAATTGGACAAGTAACCTGGTGGCTTAGTCAGACGTTGTGGTCGATCTTTGTTATCTTATATACATGATTCAGATGGTACAGGATCAGATATTACAGGATCAGGTTGTAAATGATTAAGTTCAGGTTCAGACAATGGATTTAATAACTCTGGTATAGTCACATGATCAAAATAAAAGGGATTTTGCTCTTGAGGAAAGAATTCAAGAGTAGAGTTAGAAAGATCTTGATTTTTAAATGGGAAAATACTCTCATGAAATGTCATATTTCTTGATATAGTTACATGACCTGTATCCATATCCAAGACTTTATATCCCTTAGTACCATGTGGATAACCTATGAAAACAGAAGACTTGGCTCTCAGTGAAAACTTGTTTCTATCTTTTGTAAGAGTACAAACATAGCAAAGACAACCAAATACTTTTAAATTTGAGTAAAATTAGGTTTTGTATTTGTGAAAGCTTTAAAAAGTGTTTTATTCTTCAAAAGAGGGATAGATGTTCTATTGATCAAATAAACTGCTCTAAGCACACAATCACCCCAAAACGTTAATGGAACATTCGATTGAAACAATAAAGAACGAGCCACATTTAAAATATGTTGATACTTTCGCTCAACAACAGAATTCTGCTTAGGTGTATAAGAACATGAATGAAAATGTTCTATTATCCTTTATCAGAAAACAATTTTCGAAACTGTAATTATGGTGCATTGTCAGATCTTACTGACTTCACCTTTAAATCAAACTGTGTCTCAATCAGATTAATAAAACTGGAAAACTTTTCAGAAACATCACATTTGTATCTCAACAAATATAGTCAAGTAACTCGAGTGCAGTCATCCACAATGGTTAAGAAATATCTATAGCCTTCACATGTAGGAACATGAAATGGTCCCCAAACATCAATGTGAACAAGATCAAAAGATGCTGAAGATAATTTTCCAGAAAAAGGAAATGAAAGCTGTTTTTGTTTCCAACGGATGAATCCGTTTGAATTTCGTCGTTAGAAATCGGTGTCCGTTGGACAACCATTGGAATTTTCAACGGAATTTCAACGAATTTTTCCGTTGGAATTTTCCAACGAATTTCTAACCGCAATCCGTTGGAATTTTTCAACGGCATTTCCAACCGCAATCTGTTGGAATTTTTCAACGAAAAATTCAAAACATATTCTCATCCGACCCTGACCTCGACTACGATCCCAAACCCGACCCCGACCGCGACCACGATCCCAAAACCCGACCTGACCCCGACCACGATCCCGAAGCTCACTTCCCAGTAGGTCACCCATCCTTCTACTAATTCAGCTCAATCTTTCTTAACCCTAGAGTTCCAATATATAAATATTTATACGTATATATGTATATATATTTACGTATATACATATTCGAATTCATATATATATATGTATAATATATATTTGTTATGTATATATATATGGTTAATATATACTTATTCATATATATATATATATATATATATATACACATTATATTTGTATAAAAAAAATATATATACACAAAATATACCTATATTTATACATATATATATACACAAAATATACATGTATTTTTATATATATATATATACGTATAAATATATAAAATACATATATGTAAATATACATATATATATATTAGTATATATATTTTTCAATTAAAATCCAAATTTCCAACCGATATCCGTTGGAATTCCGTTGGATTTGTTTTTAAAAAAAAATCAAAAATATTTCCAACCGACATCCGTTGGAATTTGTTTTTTACAAATTTCCAAAAAAAATTCCAACAGACATCCGTTGGAATTCCGTTGGAATTTTTTTCCAACCAACATCCGTTAGAAATTTTCAACCGATTTTTCCAACGAATATCCGTTGAAAATTTCCAACAGATATCCGTTGGAAATACCGTTGGAAAATTTCAACCCAATTTTTCAGTTGCATACGTTGAAAATTCCGTTAAAAATTTTCAACGGGCGGTTCCCGTTAGAAATTTCAACGGAAATCGTCGTTGAAACGCCGTTGAAAACTGTTGAAAATCCGTTGAAAAATTTTCAACGGACAAATCTGTTGGAAAATCCGTTGGAATTCGATGATTTTTTTTTTGTAGTGATAGAACAATGATCAAAATGAGAAGAAGAATATTAGAAAAATGGTAAAGAAAAATTTGGATTATGTGGTGGTTATCGAAAAGAATATAAGAAAGGGAAATAATATCAAAATCACTAATTACTTATCATCAATCTCGTACATAATCCTATCAATACCTCAATATTATCCATTTGAGTATATTTGATAGGATTTTCATCTCCATTCACCTCCTTCATGTTATTAGCCGTTTGTAATATATATATACATACATTACTTACATATGCTTCGTACGTACGTACGTACTCAATACACGTGTACAAATGCATACGTATGCATGGATATATACGAAGGATATATGTATTATGTTTATGGATTCATGTTCGGGAGGTGGAAAATGAGTGACGGGTGGACTGAGGTTTCTTCGGACATACGTCTTTTATGTATAATATTTGGTCCTTGAGTTATAACATGATTTCTGATATTTAAATTTCTTATCCGTTTTTTGTTTGTTTGTTTGTTTGTGTTTTGTGGATAATACATGAGCCGTCCCTTATAGTGTGGCAAAGCAAGAAAATTTAAATTCTTTTTAATTTCGTGTTCGAAAATGGATTTTGAGCGATTTTTATTACCAAATTAAAGGTCTGAGATGTTTACATACAAAAAATAAACATGAAGCGAAGAAGAAAACAATCTCTAAACAAAGTAAACCAAACTGAATCCACGAAATAATTCACGTTTGAAATATTAAAAATATAAAATTCAAGGATACAGTACACAGAGTAATTTATGATGATCCAATATCGACAATTTTGTAAATACAAACGTGTTCGAATAATCCCGACATTATCTTTAGGTCGTGTAGCACGATCTTGAAAAACCATGTGTCGCTATCCAAATACTTCTGAAATTGCGATTTTTGTAATACCATGCTACCAAACTTTATTTATTTATTTATTATATTTTCCCGTAAAGAACTGTATTTTTTAGGAATTGACGTTTGGATTAGGTTTCGAGGAATCGAACCGTACCGAATCGAAAATTTCGGTATTTTTTTTCGAATCTAACCATTCAAAATTCTCAAACACTATATTTTTATATAACCGAATTTTTCAGAATAGAATTGAACCGAATCGAACTTTATAAAATTCTAAAAAAAACAATTTTTTTTTAAGAAAATCTAATTTTTTTAATAAAAATCAAAATCGAATTGTATTGAAACTGGAATCGAACCGAACCAAAAATTATACGATACTAATTTGGTACATTATTTTAGAACATCGAATAAACTATTTCTAAACCGAATCCAAAAAGTCCACCCTAGTATTCTGATTTTGAATTTTTCATTTTTATTCAACTTTATATTATATGTCGTGGTGGTATTCGAAAAGAATGTGTCATGCTACCACGTTATAGTGATTAGATTAAACCACCATAGCTCTTTTTACGATATTATTCTAAAAACTAGTTGATGAATTAAGGAAATATGATCAAGAATGTGTCATGATATATGTGGGTGTGGGTGTTCATAATATACGTATATACGTTAAAACAAATTATGGATAAGATAAGAACCCTTGGATATGTTGATATTTATATTTTCCATAATAAAAATATAAATAAATATTTGAAGCTTCTCCGTTAATCGTTATAATTCTATTGGAAAATTAAAGTCTTGAAATATCAAGAGTAATAAACCATCAAATATAATAGAAATTCCACCGGAACTTTTAATACTAAATAGAACGTGCAAAATATAGTTGTGTACACAGTCATAATTTGAAAAAAAAAATATAGTTTCACTCGCTGGTTTTGATTATAAACATTTTTTAAATTGCAAGAGTTTTACAATATGCAACATTACACTAATTTTAAATAACTTAATTAGTAAACTTTATATTCAATTATAAATATAATTAAAAAATAATTTAAATACAAACACTTTTTGCAATTAAAATATAAAATTATATCATTTGATCAACGATATAATCGAATTAAAATCGGCTTAACAGTCATAACATATATCTTATATTGAAATATGATTTCTTAACCAAAACAGAAACTATGGTCTATGGGTCAAATTAATAAATTAAAACGATCGAAATAATATAACTATGAACATTCATCAAAGAGATCAAAATGCTCTAGTGCAAAATCTGAATCTAGACTCAATTACATCTAAATACATTTAAACTGACGTGGCACAGTGTTAGATACTGGGACCCATATGCTATGTTCTGATTGGCCGGAAAGTCTTAGTTGTCCCGGGGACTCTTTGTCGGTAACACGTACGCCGGTTGTTAATATTTAGGCAAAAATTAAATCTTATTTTTATGGAAACATAAAATAATTATATATGTGGACCATAAAAGCATATATTTATTATACAAACCCTTGAAGGGACCAGTATTCTTTGTTTATTTCTCATTCCAAAAAAACCCGAAAAATATATATTTATTATCCAAATGAGAAGCTTAAACCTATTAGTATAAGGATTTGATTATTTATTTCTAACATGGATTTTCAAAAATAATAAAAGATCCGTAGCACGTCCAAATTTATATTTTTCATTTTTTTCATAGTGGTTCTGATAATTATTATGTCTAAGCTGGCGATAGAAAATTTCTTCTGGAATTTTATTGGTAACAAAACAGATTCGATGAATCCGGACGATGTTTTAGATATTTAGCTTATCGTCTTCACCTGTTTGCGCATTTCCTAATGATCGTGAGAGAGATGTTCTTCTACGACGCTCCCCTTCGAGACTTCAAGGGTCAATCGAAGCCAAAGAGGTTCTTGCTCGCGGTCCAGTGTGTGTTTCCAGTTATCGAGTGGGCGAGAGAATACAATCTGGGCAAACTCCAAGGCGATATCATCGCCGGTCTTACCATTGCAAGTCTTTGTATTCCTCAGGTGATATGTCCAAAATCCGTCTACTTGTGTTTTGAACTATTATATGAACAAAAAGGGGCACGATCCAAAACCATATAATAGAGAAAAACCCACGTCAAAATGCCAAAATTCAAGCACCAAAAGGGTGCGTTTGTGCTCTCTCAGACTCGATCGGATACCGTGGTCAATCTAAAATATTGAAGTTTTGGATGCATAAAATTTCGTGATTTTCAATAAATATATAGGTAGATTTTATAGCATATATGAATACTTCCTAATCTAAATGATACTTATATTTCTAATCTAAGTGACAGTATCTGCATATTTCGTATATTTCTCCAATGTCATTTTTTTTTCCTTTAGCTAAAAAGATATTATTAAATTTGATGTTTGCATGTGTTATATATATATATATATATATATATGTATGTATGAGCTCATACAGTGACTGTTGATTGCAGGATATTGCCTATGCAAAGCTCGCAAATTTGGATCCAAAATACGGACTTTGTGAGTTTTCCTACTCGGCTTGTTGACAGAAATAACTTCATAATTTTTGTATAACCGATGAAGAGACTTTATTATGAAGTTGCATCGGCTTGTGATCTAAACCAACATATATAATTTGATGTGGCGCCTAATCAGAATATGAATATAATAAGCCTTACATCGGCTAAACTTATAACCGATGCCTCACAAGGAAAAAAAATGTTATTGAAGATTCGAGCGTTGTACCACCATTGGTGTATGCGTTCATGGGGAGTTCGAGAGATATAGCCATTGGACCAGTGTCCGTGGTGTCTCTGCTGCTCGGAACTATGCTTCAAGACGTGATCGACCCCGTCAAACATCCGCGTGAGTATCGCCGCCTCGCTTTCACCGCCACTTTCTTCGCTGGAATTGTCGAAGCCAGTCTCGGATTCTTCCGGTTATCTCTCTCTCTCTCAACGTATATATATACATGCATGCAATTGAAATAGAGAGAGAATAAGTTGGAGATGAATGATATATATGATATGTATGGGGCATGCGCATGCAGGTTAGGGTTCTTGATAGATTTTCTGTCACATGCGGCGGTGGTAGGGTTCATTGGAGGAGCTGCCATCACAATCGCTCTCCAACAGCTTAAGGGTTTTCTCGGAATCAAGAAATTCACCAAGAAAACCGACATTGTCTCTGTTCTTCACTCTGTCTTCTCTGCTGCTCATCATGGTGTACGTATCTTCACCCTCTCCTTTACTATATATATATATATATATATATATATATATATATATATATATATTTCTATATATTC